ATCCAGATTTACATTACGTCAAACCATGCGTACCAAACGTACATAATTCCCGCCACAGAAGTAACACAACGTGTCTTCATGTCTCGCTAGTTTTCAAGATTGGCATTCTGAATCTACAACACAGCACAACCGCTTTTCCTCTTGCAAATCAACGTACTGGAAACAGGTTGATTTCGACTAAGGAGATAAAATCTAAATCTTTAAGTCACGTCATAAGCAAGCGTTTACAGCAGAATGGAGCAACTTTACGACTTCACAATCCACATTCCCAACCTGCAGCTTTGAACTCCTATCAGTCGTCTGTCTGTAAGAAGATGCAACCGAAACATCATTCCCATATTTCTTTGTATAAAATTCAGTTCACTAGACCTACATTAAGTTACAGCTTATACTCGGAATATTCTACTCCGAAAAACTTGTGAGATACAAGTAACGTCACTGAGGCATTTAGAGATTCAGACACAGTAATAACACGGACTAGCAGAAACCTACATTTTCGTGAAAATTCACAGTGTATTCACATAACTGCCTGCATTAATACAAATAGAAGTTCAGAGTGCAAAGCGTGGTACTAAGGGCGGCTTTTATCATGGTGTATAAGATTGAAAATATAATTTTAGCCAAATTAATCAAATTAAAGTAAATCTGTCCCTTAGCAACTTACGATTGCACAATGACTTCTGGGTACGCGCATCACGAACTTCACTGGCCTAACCCACTCTAACAATTTTCTAACCTAACCCAACTTAACAAACCAACCCAACACAACTAACCACAACTTAACCTAACCTAAACTAAATCTGGTCTTTAACAGCTGTACATTTTACATGGTCCACTCCACAATTGGCTGAATAACCTCACATTTTCAAACCCAACGTAACCGATTTCGACTAAATGTTGCCCAGAGTAGCTGTCTTCTACGCAGGCGAAAATGTTCATTTGAGCATGTGCATAATTAATCACAGAAAATCTACCCCAGCCTAGCCCAACATAACCAAATGCAAATTATTCTGCCCCTAAGCAGCTGAACTTCGCGTATTTCGTCTTACGCATCACCAAATGTAAGTTTGTGCATGCGCGACACTAACCTCGCCTAACCCAGCCCAACCTAATCCAACATAACAAATTTCAACTAAATCCGCCAACGAAAAGCTTAATGTTGCACATTTCCTTCTAAGCAAGCGCACATGTTCTTCTGCGCATGCGAGTCACCAACCTCACATAACCCTACATCACGAAAGGCATCTAAATCTCTCCCTTAGCAGCTGAACATTGGCACAAAGGTTAGTTCCGAGTTCGATCCCAATCGTCCCCGGAAATTTTAAACAAAATAATAATGCAAAATGAGGCATATTTACGACCGGCCGCCTAAAGACGGGAACCAGCTACAGAATATCTGTCACAGTAAACCATAAACAACATGACACATGAGGATGTTACCAGAGTCCTTCAAAATGGTAGCAATTCCTGAAAGCGACAACTTTTAAAGAAAGTTATTAACGAGGAATGTACCCGTTCTTCGGTCGAGATTTTTAATACACTGTACAGTGACGAACATACATGAAGTAACATTACGCATACTAGTGTAGTATAACTCGTCAAATTTGACGGGGGAAAAATTATTTATGTTGAATAATAATATTATTTACTGCAGAATTTCTTTTTAAATCGCATTCAAGATACGCAATATAAAAAATATATTTATAAGACTCCAAACTCCCGCAAAACGCAGACTCCTTCAGACCACACCACAGATTCGTTTACATTTCTTACTATAAGAGTACTCACCGTCAGAACTTACTTTCAATTCTTTCAGCAATGGACGGACATTGATTATTATATCAGGATAATCTTGCTTAAAGCTTAAACCATATAAGACAAATCTTCTACGCTCGTTTTTCATAAACTTCATTAAGAATGAAAACAATAACGGACAACTGTAACCTCTGAACTGGGGTATAAAATTTAGTGTTTTGCAAAAGACAAGCATAGAACTATTCTCACTTTTAATTCGTCCAGTTTCTGAAACAAATTTCCAGTGACTTACTATGACATTAGAAAGAAAGTGCATTTGTATAAAGGAATACATTAAACAGAACACTAGAAAGTAAAGAGAGAAAGAAGGTTAATTTTTTTATAACGTGATGGCATTTTTCACAGAATTGTGTACAAGTGAAACGTGGGTTGAGGAGAAAAAATGGCAGCAACATTGAAGCATCTTAAATTAAATTTTAAGAAGTGTAAAGGAATGTACTAAATCAGACAAAATTAAAAATTAAGTGTGCAGAAGGAACTAATTACTCATCAGATGGAAGAATATAGACAAAATTCAACTCATATGAACGAAACTGACGATGACAGACTCTCGAAACTTGCACTTCGTTAAACAACAACGGAACCCATGAGTATAAGACCTTCAAAAGACGGCTTTGAAGTAAAAATATTTTTGAAGAGTAGAAAAATAAGATTGATTCCTCAGTAGTGCCGCATGCATTCCAATTCCTTTTTACCTTACTGATTTCTTTTGTTTGAATATCTAAAGGATTATTTCAGCAAACAGTGTTGTCGCTAGGAACTCCTGCTTTGTAGTTTATAGAGCTCTGTTAAGAGCGCAGACAGTGACGTTTTGCTATTTTGCCTAAAGACTTCTTTGTAGACCCGTCAGCTCCTCCACACGAATATCTGGACGGTACCTTGAAACAAGCCAAGCTCTGTTCCCAATTCAGAAACATCGCGAAATCACAATGACACAGAAGGATGCGCAGTTTGGTTCCGGAAGTCTTGTTATTGCATTCTGGAGCAGTCTTG